TTATCTTGCCTCAGCCTCTCAAGTAGCTGGGAGTACAGGCACCCTCCACAACACCTGGATATTTTTTGTTGCAGTTGTTTAGCTGGCCCAGGTCAGGTTTGAACCCTCCACCTTCAGTGTATGTGGCTAGTGCTGTAACCACTGCGTTAAGGGCGCCCAGCCATTTTTGCTCTTTTTTTTTTTTTTTATTAACATAATGTAAGTGTGCTGGGGAAGTTTAACTATAAGTTCAAGTGCGCCATGAGATAAAAAAGGTTAAAAAGCTGATCTAGAGGTATATTTCAAATCACTACCTTTCTCTCTACACAGTGTAGCCAAATGCATGATTTGAAGTGTTTATAGTGGATTTTTACTGTATTTTTTTAAGTAGGCTTGATGTTAATAAATCTTTAAGTCTTTAAATATCTCATTGAATCATCTCTCATCTGAAGCTCTAAATTTACATAGTGCTAAAAATTTTCTAAATTTTCCCTGGTTTAGAAAGTGAAAGTTAAAAAAGGAGACTTAGTACTATATGCATATATATATATACACATATCATTCAAAATTATAATATAGTTTGAATTTATATTAATTAACATTTTACCATCATAATAAAAATTTCTAAAGAATAAGTAAAATATCCAGTGCTTTCCTAAATAATTTTTAAAATCTTAGAATTTTTCATGGTTGATTTCAGCTATTCAATTTACATATCTAAATTTTATTTTCTAAAATGCAGATTAAAAAATGGCAAACTTTTTTGCATCAAGGACCTTCACTGCACTCTCTGATCTGCATCCAAATATGGCTAATCTGGTAGGTTTCAGTTATATGATGGTTTGATTGTTCTTTAATGAAACTATAATAATATTATATTATGTCAGCATTATTCATTCAACACATGCTTGTATAATTGACAATATACAGATACTCATTGCATTTCTGTAATTGTTAGATATTGAGTACCCCTAAACTTCTTTGTATTTATGCCAGCTAAATGAAAAAAATTTTTTTGTCTACAGAATAAGAGATACAATTGTAGATGTGAATGGGGTCTCTACAAAATTTTTTTTTAATAATCCTGGTGTGTTGGCTTGTGCCTGTAGACCCAGCTACTCTGTAGACTGAGGCAAGAGGATTATTTGAGTCCAGGCATACCAGGTTGCAATGAGCTATGATCATGCCACTCCACTCTAGCCTGGTGATAGAGTGAGACTTTGTCTCTTGGAGAAAAAAGGATAAAAATATTTTTATATTTTATTAATTAAATATTTAATAAGTGAAAATCTTAATAAAAAGCTCAAGTTTAGCATTGTAAAATTAAACCATTTTTGTTCAGCAGTAACAGTTCTCTAACCAAATTATCCAAGGTACAGTTTCTTTCTTTTTGTTTGTTTATTTGAGACAGAGTCTCAAGCTATTGCTCTCAGTAGAGTGCTGTGGCATCATAGCTCTCCAAGAGTTCGAGATTGCTGAGAGCTATATGATCAAGTTATCCTCTTGCCTCAGTTTTTCT